TAACAATGTTTCTAGATCCACCCAAAACCCTAAAGCCAAATCAGCTTTGAGATGGGAAAGAGGAATTTCATTTTTCCTCACTTTCACTGCTGGGACAGACAGCCTCCCTCCCTTTGAGGTAATTTGATTTTCACATTATGCTTTATGGGATATCCTTTATTTACCTAATGTTTTCCTGTCAAGTCTTTTCAGACTATGAATCTTGTATATTTTATATACACAAAGGTGACTTTTCCTTCCTTTAATGACCGTGGCTTATCAGTGCAGGCAACCGATACTGGACTCATAAATATGTCACTCTTGGGTTTGCGGCAGCCCCTTCTCCTTCATAAGACTATTCCTTGCTGCTTGCTCCTCCCTTCAGTTCACTGCATATCCATGGTCTGCTCGTCCCCTTGATGGCATTGGTTGGTATAAATAAATCACTGATTTCAGCAATAGGTGAAAATCATTGTGAAAGGAGCACACAGAGGAATGTAATACAAGGTCGGTGGAGCCAGCGCCTTCCGACTCCAATTAAACATTTCCTGTAAGTCAGTGCCAATTGTGCATCTTGTAAGAACATTTGAAAGCGGGAGCTTGAACTCTAAGGGACCCTCTCGCCTTGAAACCTGTTTCCTGTTTAACAAGATTTAACAAGTACAACCAAACATGTGCCATCAGCAACAAAAGTCATTGTAAATGGCTCCAGTGTGCAAAGGTGCTGGGTTTCCTCTTGGCCCCAAACACCTACCAGCCCTGTCAGGCTGTCACAGGATAGCTGCAGCAGAGTGGCATGGTGTCCTGGTGCCCCAGGACTGGCACATGCTCAGCCGTTTTGCTAAGGGAGGGGGAAGGAAAGAGGGAAAAGGCAACCTTTTCCAAGGGGGTCAAAGCTTGTTGGGTGAAAGCTTCAAGACTTGGTCTTACTGTCCCAGGAGTTTTCTACAGAGGATGCAACAACATCCACTCTATCCTGTCTCTTCAGCTTGAAGCACAGTCTTGCTGCTATAAGATGTCTCAAAGACATCATTGTAATCAAAGACATCAGTGTGGTGCCTGGAACAGGCTCAGCCCAGGCTGAGCTCCCTGTCCAGGCAGAAAAGATGCCCAAAGCAGAGATCAGCCAAAGCCAACTCTTGATTGTGCAATCAGATATGGGGAAACTGGTCATGAAAGCCCCAAAGTTTAGGGGATCCTCCTGGTTGTGAACGCAGTGGGGACAGGGAAGACACATTCACTGTGGCCAGGCACTGAGAACATACTCCTGCTTCCTAGAGACCTGTACAGTGATAGGAGACATCTATATATGAGGGGGTGTGTGCACGTACACTGTGTATACATCTCCTACTGGAAGCTTTTGTAGCATACTCTCTGTACCTTTCTCCCTAATTCAGAAGGTCTAGTACTTGGGATGAATCCTCCAGTTCTCCTGAGTAACAACAATAGCCGTGATGGGAGCAACAATCCTATCAGTTTGTTGAAAACCACAGAGGCATTCATATACTGAAAGATACATATCTGACCAAATTTTCCAAGTGCATAGCCCACACCTTGCCTCTCATTTGTAGTCAGCTACTCTTTCCACCTCTGCCATCCTTATAGTAGCCAACAACCAGGGCAAGGTCTGTGAGCAAAGGGAGGACATGGATGGAAAAGAGCAGAGGAAACAATGTAAAGTGGAGCCTAATGTGATTGAGACAGCTCTGCCCTTAAAACTGCTCACACATAGAAGAAAGTATTTCAGCCCTGGATGTTAAAATAAGAATAATTTTCTTTAAGGAGGTAATGAACTTGATATAATATATCAGACATTAAAAGTTATTTTCTCATTATCAGGGAAAAGCTCGGGAATTTGATGCCGACTCCTCATCTATCTTAAGTGGGCCATCATTTATTTGAAATCCATCATTATGGGATATAGTTCAAGTTCAGAGAGGACAGCACTTTTCTGAGAGAAGTCCCCTTTTCCTAGGCTCCTTGGGCATGCTCCGGCGGGAGCCAGCTCTGCCCTCTCTGTCTCTGCGATGCACAGTGTCAAAGCAATGCTTCAAAGGAAAGTCTCCACAAGGTTCTGACCCCCCAAAGTGGAGATGTGCTGGCATCCCTGCACTGTGGCTGAGGAGTGGACAAATAATCAGATCCTCTGGATTGGTCCTTCCTCTGCAAGCTGCCCATGACTCTTCACCACCATGGCTGGAGTCACTTTCCATGTGTCATCTCCCAAGATCAGCCCCTCTAGTGCTGCCTGAAACCCAGCAGCCCTCTCTAATGTGGGATCAAGCAAGAACAAGGCTCAAGCAAGAGTGTTCAAACAGCCAGCGTGGACTTTATTGGAGCAAGTGCCCAAAAACCTGTCGATATCCCCCTCACACCACCAGTTTTGCTAAGATGGCAGATGGGTGTTGGGCTGTGGGTGGTTGTTTTCACTGCCTTGAGCCTGTCACCAGCCCAGTGCATGCCATGTGTGTGTGGGTGATGAGAGATCAGAGAGGCATCTCCCCCACGATGCCTGCAGGCAGGCTTTGCAGCCGTATTTGCTTTCCAGGTTTTATTGACCCAGGCTTTGCTGACCACCGCATCCACCCCACGCTGCAGCTTGGGCCACCACTGTGCAGCTCTGGGGAGAGCATCTGAGGATGCCCCTGGGACCAGCAGGCTCTGTCACCCTGTCCTAGCCTTTCTGACAAGAAGTCTGTTGCACTATTTGCTCCACAGTCCCACTCCTTCCTAAAAGCTGACAAGTGGGGAAGGCTGGTTGGTGCTGCGACCAGTGAAAGTCAACAATTCCATCTGGGATAGAGCTGCAGTTTGGCTGAGGTGGATATTGTTCCCAATTACTGTCATTTAGCTAGACTTAGAATCACTTGCTGACACCAAAAGGGGATGTGAGCCTTCTTTGGTGCCCAGGTGTCTAGCTTCGTCATGCTAAACTGACTCCGAAATCCCATGTGAAACCAAGATACTGTACGATGCTCTGCTGACTTCAGCAAGGCCATCCGTGCTGGCTTATCATGGCACAGGGGCAGAAGTGCAATGTTCTGGGATCTGGCACAACAAGTAAGAGTTTTGGGCACTTCTCCAGGGGAAGAGCCTGTAGGAGGAAGGCAAAACTGCCTGTTAAACGAATAGGTTCAGCCCTGCAGCTCGGAGGAGATCTCACAAAGTGCCCATGTGCAAAGCTGTGGCACAGGGGAAGACTACACTTCATCCCCATCCTTAAGAGGGCTTTGATTTGCAGTAAATTTGCACCAATGGACCAAAATAGAAATGCTTCAGGCATCATTAAATCAGGACAGCACCTGTAAGCTGAAGCTGAGGCGGTTCATTTGGCATTAGATGCTGGACATAGGAAGGAGGTGAAGGAGGTATCTACCAGCCTGAGGAGCCCGATACCTCACTAGATAGCATACAGACACTATAAAGAGGGAAGGAAAGCTGTAACATATTTCCCTTGTACAGATGGGAAACTGAGGCATGTTGAGACCCTGTTCTCTGAGAGTGTGACTTGGATTTATATGAGGTCTCTGGAGCACAGCTGGGCATTAAAATCAGAAACTGTGTCTTATGTCTGTGCTCAGGAGGAGGAGGGGATGAACTGACTGGCAAACATTTCCAGACAGACGGTGGAGCGGATTAGTACAAAAGAGGATGCAGATCTCGGCTGTTCAGCTGCCAGCAGAAAGGAGGGGGAGTATGGTTAGGCAGCTGGTTGAGAAACAGGTGCAGAGAAGGTTTCCTGATAGCTGTGCTGTCATCCTGCTTTGAACCCTCAGCTCCCTAGTAAATCTTCCCTCTTGGAACTCTCTCATCAAAGTTTCATTTCCTCACGTTCCTAAAATAGTTCTTGATAAGCAACTTGTCGTGCTGGTAAAGCCCTTTTGGTTACTTTCCTAGAAATCTATTTTCATGTTTTCTCACTGGGCTTCAGCTGCTTGCATTCCCATTCGGGGGAAAAAAAAAAGTTGATAAAAAATAATCCAGCCAAGGCTTAATACAACAAGAAGGTGAAATGTTTATGTTTAGTAGCACAGCAGGACCTTGTCTGTCAACTGAATTTCCAAGCAATGCCACGAAACTGTAGTGCTAAAACTTGCCCCTAACCCTAGAACCAGGGAGAAGAAAATATG